TTGGCCCAAAAAACTAAGAAGAGAAAAAGAAAAAATTTCAACAATTTTTACTAAAGCTATTAGTCAGATACTGAAAATGTGTCATTACAAAATGAACTTATTGGCAAATATTTTTTTGCTATATTACTCTTAAAAAATTGAACTTATTGGCAAATATTTTTTTGCTATATTACTCATAAAAAATACTCCTGTAGTTGTAGCACTTTAACTTAATATCAGAATTCTGTAACGTATTTCCAAAGAGAGCATCTAAGACGTATAGCCGACTAAGGTTAAACCGTTAAAAACTGAAGTTCTAGGTTCGGGTCTTATCTTGGTTAACTTTTTATTTTTGTTTCTATTTCAGCTTTATTTCTTTTTATTTTTTATTTTATCCTTTTCAACATATTCTAAAGTAGAAACTCTCAAAGCATACTACTAGGTTTAAAGAGGAGTACCAGGCCCATACAACACAAAATAGTTCTTGCTGCTTTCCATTTTGCTTCTTGTTCTTCATATACATCCTTGGAGTTGTCATGTCTCCATGCATTCTCATTAACACCATGATGTTGTACAGGGAGGAACTTAAGGTCAAATTGTTCACTAGTAGTTTAAGGAATTTGAGACAGTATATCCTAAGTAACTCCAAAAATGTTACTGTGCACCACTAAAACTTTCACACCCATAATAATAGAAGAAGACGACATATGACATAAGCACGCTATTCAATAAGTCTCGTTTTGAATTAAAAAGGTTTTATTAATATGTTATGCTCGTTTCTTAACTATCCATTTGGGAGATGTAATAAAATATTTGAATGCCAAGTTTTCAGATCTTTAACTATATCAAGAGTTGAATTTGAGTTGATTTATAAATTGTTGGATTTGTAGGATTTTTTTTAAATTAATGTAAAACTGGAGATTAACCGAGGATAAATGAACAATTGGACTTATCTTAAATCGTATTGATATTTACAATCCTTAATGTCCCATCCATGCTCTTCTCATTTTGTCTTAAGTTTGCTTGGTACTGTAGTTCTGATCTGTATGTGGGAGTTGTGTTATGTGTCGAATAAAACCGAACCGATGTATGTGTATATTTTCCCTTACGTTTGGTTGAATGTTTGGTATGCACTGTGTTATGTGGCCTATACAAAAAAAGTATCAGACCTTAATCAAATGCGCAATAAAATCTTTAACTGTTTGAGAAAGCAAAAATGCGAAAGAAAAACCAAAAAAAAAATACATAGAAAACAGAATGAATGACCCTTGTTAGCCTCTGAAACGAAGCAATCCACAGCTGTTTTAACGCGCAAGAAAAATGGTGGGGTATGTGAAGAATACCATTATACGTATAAAATTATTTTTATACATAAACTCACATTTACACCAAAATTGTATTCCCTTTAGGTTACTTGAGTAATTCATTTCAACTCTTATGAGGGTCGAGCTCCGTACTGCTCAGCACAATACTAGGGGGTTGCAAGAGAGTGAGAGCGCACCGGAGAGCAAGTCGGTAAAAGAAAACGCAATAATGTTGAATTTTAAACCATTTTCGTAGCCCTAGCAAAAAGTACCATCTTCCAGTAAAATCCTGCTTTATGGGCGATAGCAAAACAATGTTACCGTCGAACTCTTTCCAATCGTGTTTTGTTTTTCCCAGCAACGGACAATTCCATTTATTCCATATACAAACGAATCTACAAAACTATATATAAAAATTTCTACGCCTGTATGTAAGTTTGTATCAAGATATATATGTAAGTAGTGTTTTCGTATGTATATAGTAATGTTTTATGTACTCTATAATATTTTGCTTTCCCTGGCTGTTGTAAATTATGTACATACATATATATGTATATATAACGCGTTATGTGCAGAGATACCTACATCTATGCTTACATACATATAATATTATATATGCATTATTTATTTGATTTTTATCTGCTTCTAGTACGAATATATAAGTAAAGACGGGACGGCACGTTTTGTGTAAGTAACAACGGCTACCCGGGCATAATATTTTTGTAGCGAACCATGTGCCACACCAACAGTTCTGTTTTGAGATTTGCTTCATGGATGTTAGCATGGCTATGCAAATGTTTATATGTAAGCAACGATTTAAGCAGGTTCTTATGTGCGATTATATGTGCCGGGTTGTCTAACATACAAGTACTCTAAGTACATATGTACCCGCACATATTTGTATGTATGTATGGTTGGCAATTTATCTGTGTTTGCGCAATATAGTACGAGTGCTGAAGGATAGATGGGGTCGACTGAGTGAAGTAAAATGGAGAGGAGTGGAGTATATTTCTACGTGTATATAAAATACGTCTGCACAGAGCAATAAAAAAATGGTATCGATTTTTGCAAAATTAATATCATTAAAAAAGTTATGTGCTGGTTGTTGCCGTTGTTGCTTTCATTCCGAACACACTTAGTATCTGCCACAGAGTATCTATGTATGTATGTATGTATGTATGTATGTATGTATGTATATGTGCATATGAAATTTCAATGGAAGTAACCAAATTTTCACCGTTACCTTAAAATATATACAAACATCACAAGTTGCCTGGCGATGATTAGGGAATATAATTTTATAAAAAAAATTTATATTTTAAACTATTAAATGTGGAATATATTAAAATATGTGTAACATATTCAAAGAGAAGTCATGGGATTGTTATACGTTATCTTCTTACTTGACCTACCCGTTTATGGTCTTTCTCTCCAGTGGACCGTATTCAATAACAATTGACTGGGTAATAAGGTTGTCAATGAAAGTTTACGACATGCCCATGCCGCTACAAAGTCTATTAAATCATCTTAATATTTTTTTAAATTTCAATCAAGGTTTGTTTATTTTACAAGTAATAATTCTATGTAAGATATACGAGTATTATTAAATAATTTGTGCCCATCCGATCCTCATTTTATTTAAACTTAATAATTGAGCATATGACCTTAATTATTAGTACACGGTGAGGTTCAGAATTTTCAGAACCTTTCTTAGTAGTATTCTTCTTAGTAAGATTCTTTACATCAAAATAATCTGTTTATTTTTAGGTATGTGCATAAATAATACCTAATAGTACCTAAATTTCACTTTTAGACTCTAGGCATCCTCCTGGTTCATGCTATTCCTTAAGGCATTTACTATTTACCTCGTTGATGTCTGCCATAAAATTGGGAAAAAATCCTTTTGTCGAGGCCCACTAAATATGTTGATTGGTTTGGATAGCAGTCCGATAATTTCCACTGAGCTTGCTTCTCTTCGGTCATATATGGATAAACGTGATACTCATGTTTTTGCATAGTCTCACTTTGGGATGCTATAATAGGTGGTTTGAAAGAGTAAAAATCAGTGTGGAATGGCACAGTGCCACAGTGCCACAGTTTAGTGGTATATTGGATATCATACATTTTTTTACCGTTTAAGGATATCCTTGAACAACGCCACATTGGTATTTCCCAATGATGTCCATCTACTTTCTCTCTTGAAATCCAACCATTGAATTGCAGAGACAGGCCAGGCCATTCCCTTTAGTTCTAAATTTTTACCCAAATGCCAATAATAGCTGTATACTAAACTGAATTTAAATATTATAATGCAGTGCGGTGTTATAATTAATATAATATAGTGTTTTAAAATTCAATTTATTATTAGTAATACGGTATAGAGTATGAATTCAATTGTTAGAGATTTTCGAGTTATAACTCGTATAATTCCAATTTCTAATTTGGAAATGATGCATTATTAGTATTTTAAAAAAAAAATAAATTTTTTTAAATAACTTTAATATACAAAATTGGGATATTATGCGATTCCGTTTCATCGACGATTTGATTTTGACTTTAATGTATTTAAATTTCCGTAGAGTTAGCGAAAAGTGGCAACAACGCTTTGGATAGTATTTGTACACTTTAATAATTTATACAAACAAACATACATAGTTATTGCATATATTGTGTGTAAGAATTGTGTCTTGTATAAATATTTGTGGATGTAAAAAGTTAATGGCAATAACACAATGCCGTTTTCCCTACTCAGATAATTTTTGTTTTTATAAAAGAAAAAGTAATAAGCAACTGACAAACGACTGAAATCTAAACGACCTCTCAACGTAGCGTCAAAGAGACAAGCAAAAGAAATTGAAAAATGTTAACGTAGGGTATACATACAAATACATGTATATATATCCATATATAACATCCGCACACACACACATCTATATACATATAGTATGCATTGTGTCATCTCTCCTCGCTCACTGTACACCTTGCTATGAAACTGCGCGCCAATTCTGTCGCTGACGTAGTTAATTTTTTCTTTCTCCGCAGCAAAGTTATTATATCTGATTAATGTTAAAACAAAAAGGAAAACGTCTGTAAGTTTGTTGTATGTATGTTTATCTTAAGATATATAGCTTTATATATGTATATATAATTTGCGAAAAAATTTAAATATATTCTGAATGAATTTTGTCTAGTTGTGCAAGAAAATTCCAAAAATTACTTTATACAACAACGTTTTATTAATAACATTATACATAATAAAAATAATTGAAAATATATTTTATTCTAGACTTATTCACATTAATTTTTTTATATTAATTTCAACTTTGTTCGTTTGGATGAGCTTTAATTCCAGTTTCTGTTTTATATCAAACCCCATATTTGTTGGACTCCGCATGTTTGATGTTTGATCGAACTCAATCGGGTAAAGTTTGCAACATGTATTTTACTGATTCGTTGCTAGGTAACAGCGGCAGCCATTATGAATTTGCAAAAGTAAAATATACTAAAAACATATATCTATCTCACTCATTCGAAAAAAAAGAATGCTGCCAAGTTAATTTTTCTGTTTGGTTAATATATTAAAAATATATTTTTAGTTTTGGTTTCATAAAATATACGTATTGTATATGTTGTTAGTAATTTTTCGATAATTATACTTTCATTTCGAGGTTACATTTATTGTTAATATAATCTACAAGTTATTAAATTACAACTGTGATACAAAGATGAGATATTTGTATAAATGAGTTAAAATTATTTGCGTATGGTCACCTTATTTAACACAAGTTGACCCGACCGCCATTATGAGACTTAATGAAACGGTTAGGAAATTGCACATTTGTGTATTCGCTTTCTTTCATTTCGGTTGGTCTCATGTTTTTATTTTGTTAATAGACAAGAACAAATGCAAATTATAAAAGGACGTATGATGTGGATTTTATGAATAAATACTGAAATCAGTTCTTTAAACATTTAGATAACAAATGTAACACTTAAGGATTTATACTATTCGTGAGTGTCTGACGCATAATTAAAAATATACAAATATGTCAAGTGGAGCTAGTTTGATTCCAACTACTGTTCCGGGGAATGGAAATGTCAGTTCCTCTGATATAGTACCAACAGCTGCTGCAACGAACACAGTTGAACGTCGCTGCGACAATGCTGATTGCAATGTAGTGAAGTTGGTCTCGATGGTGCCCAAGCGTAAGAATATACAATTCGTCACGGAACCAACTGTGAGTGACAAGCCACTGCTGATAAATGGTTTCACAACAATTTTTCAGGTTGATGGCAGCTCGGCCAAACTTAGTGATTTAAAGATTCCAAGCTCAACGAATCCCTCGGTACCGAAAACTATATTTCGTGTCGTTCCAAATACACATGCACATATTGTAAACTACGTTGTTGTGGATGCAGATGGCGAATCTCTGCGCAAAATTAACGACAGTGATCCGGCCACAATGCGTAAATTATTAGATTCCCAAAAAAATAGCGCTGATCAAATGTTGCGTAAATTAATGGCTGGTCATGGTTCCTCAGTTGTGGTTTCGACTGCTTCAAATATTGCGGATCCTGTTCCGGTTGTGAGCAAGAGTCAAACAACGATTGGGACACCTGTTACATCTGCAAGCCGAGTGCCACTAGCTTCTGCTTCAATTCAACCATTATCTAGTAGAGCGTCAAATACAGCCGGATATTCCACAGGAACTGCACAAGCGCAAACGCAACTGAAACCGTCAATACAATTACCAATGCGTATGCACCCAAATCTAAAAATAACTGCCGTTGCAAGTGCAGAAACTGTTTCTACTCTGTCGACTCCCACATTATCACAGGCCCAACCCCCAACAACCTCAGCAAATCTGCCATTGATCACACCAGTTCCATTGGCAAATCTGCAAAGTGCTCCGCAACTGCCTGTCAAATCTTCGGGCTCAACGGCATCACAAGTTGATAAGTATGTGTCCACATTAACCATAAACAAAAAAATATTTGGTTTTATGTATATTTTTCTGCTATCCTTTCAGGCCTGTTTTCGATCAAATGCAAGCTGAATTGGAGGACTTGCGTCGCAAAGTAGCATTGCTAGCTGAAGCTCAAGCTAAGAATCAACAGGTTCCCAGCACGCAGGGTGGATTTGCACGTGGTGTTAAACGCAATTATTAAATTAAGTCACTAATATTACTTACACAAGTATAACGCGAAAGACAAAAGTCTACGACACTAGAATTTATTTATTTTCATTCTTTGTGTCTCAATCTCGTTTTCGTTGTTTAAATAATAAATAATAAATAAATTAGTATTATATAAAGTTTGCAAAGTTGAAATAATGTAAAGTTAATGAATTATTAAAAGCATGATGTATTATTTGAAATATTAGAATGAAATATTATTCAAAAAACATTTAAACAGAGAATGCTTGTAAGTCTTTGCTATGTAAAATCAATTCAGAAATTAAGTACGTGCACTTGTCATGCATCGTTTTTGTGTATGAAAACTACTGATTATGGGAATAAAATAAACTTATTTAAATGATCTAAAATTGATTTATTTCAATTGAACTAGAGGACATCGCATTGCGTTGGTGTAGTGCAATGCGTCACTTTTCAGAAAGTAGTCGAATCCTGAAACAATTAACTAGTGAGAAGTAACAGAATTGTGTATGTCCACTGAGGGTATCCTCTGCTCTGCTACTGGTGTTGGATGACTTGTGCAAATAGCAATACGAATTATATAATCAATTCAACGTTTAACGATAAATAAATTAATCGTTATTGTTTTGAGTTTTTTTACATTTGATTTTAAATAATCTGGTATCTCAGTTCATATTTTTTTAGTACTGTATTATACTAAATTAATGATATTTGTTATATTACTCGAAGATATTACATATACACACCCAGTTAAATATTTTATACTTACTTATTACCTATACATATAAATCTAATAATCGGTTTTCTTCAAAATTTTGATCTTACAGGCCAATTGAAACATCTCAGTCGTACAAAAAGGGAGGTAACCTGGGATCTCTTTCACATCATACTGCGCAACAAATGCATCAGCCGCAAATGCACCATCACCAACAACAGCAGCATCACCATCAGCAACAGCAACAATCCTCTCGTTCGGCAGCTAGTCCTCTTTCACCTCCACGGCCAGGACCAGGATCGGCAGCAACCGCAAGCACATACGCAAAATTTGGTGATGTTAATGCAGTTCGAGAGGCACCACACCGTTATATACAACAAAGTTCGTATAGTATTGGTCCCGGTACACAGTACCGTGATAGCCCTCATACGCGAATACCTCAAATACCGTCGTCACAAGTGCAGGAATACCACCGTGCAGCAGCAGCTGTTGCAGCTGCTTCTGCTAGTAATAGCACATCTAACGTGGTGCAAGTGACGACAGGTTTGCCACCGCCGCCTAGTGGTAGTATTAATATTAGTGGAACGCATTTGGATACATTACATTTTATGCATCAAACACCTGCTGGTCCTACAACGACACAACTGCTCAGTAATTCTAGTGGTGCAAATAGTAGCAATACCGGTGCACCATCACCACATAATGCAAATAGTGGTGGAGCAAGTAGCATAATTGTGGGTCGTCAGCGCATTCTGTTACCTGCACATGCGCAAGCGCAAGCTGCACAATATCCGAATGAATATCTGCCTAGTACGGCTGTAGCTGCTGTAGCAGCCGTGAATCGTCAGCAACTTCATCAGCAACAGCCACAACAACAGCACACTCAACAGCCGCAAGCACCCCCTGATCCTGGAGGGCAACCATTTAAAAAACTGCGGTTAAGTGAGACAAATGTTACCAACACAAATCACCTGCCATCTCAACAAATTGCAAATGCGCAGCAAAGGCAACCTTCTCCCGCTGCAATATCACTTTCGCAGGCCAACAGTAGTCGCAGTAGTAATAGTAGTCACATACAATTGTCGCAACCGCCTCATACACATCTGACTGTATTACCAGCGCAACCTCCTCTATCAGTCGCGGTACAGCAACTAAAAGTAGAAACTCAACCGCCACAGCTTCAAAGTACGTCTAAGTCGCTAGCGAACCGCTCAACACCCACTTCAATAAGTGGCAGTTTTATTTCAACGCAAAATGCAACTGTTGTTTCAGTTACGAATTCTTCAACTTCGTCTTCGTCAGAGGCGTATCATCCACAGGTTGAAGCGATCTCACCTACACTGCCAACTGATAACGCGGAGGAACGCGGTCGCACCACTAAAGAGGACTTACTTATGCAAATTCAAAAGGTAGATACTGATATTCAAAGTGCTGAAAATACGATGGAAATGCTTAAAAAGAAGGAAACAACGTTACTTGAAACAGCCGCTGTGTGTAAACAAGAAAATGAGCAAGAAAACAAGTCAGAAGAGGATGGAGCAGAGGATGTTGCAAATGCGTGGCGTTCACAAACACTGGCTCAGAAAATATATGAGGCGAACCGTAAAACGGCCGCAGCACAACATTCCATTCTTAATAACTGCGGTACCCGTTATATGTTACCGCTTTACAATCAGCCTCTGGATGTTGAACGATTGCAAACAATTATGAGACGCCATCAAATCTCTGTCAAAGATCCATTGCTAGAACAAGTACGTAAGATCAAACATGAAAGATGGTTACATAATACTGGTCTAGTAGATAGATATACACAAATGTCAGCAGATTGGCAAAAACGTATTGAAAAAGCTGAAGCAAGTGCTAAGAGGAAGGCGCGTGAAGCTAAAAACCGCGAGTTCTTCGAAAAAGTGTTTACAGAATTAAGAAAACAGCGTGAAGATAAGGAACGTTTCAATAGAGTAGGGTCCAGAATTAAATCTGAAGCTGATTTAGAAGAGATTATGGATGGGTTGCAGGAGCAAGCAATGGAAGATAAGAAAATGCGATCGTATGCTGTTATACCACCTTTAATGTACGATATAAGACGAAGGCGTTGTGTTTATCATAATGAGAACGGCTTTATTACGGACATGGTTGGTGTACATAAAGAACAGCAAATGATAAATGTGTGGACAGCAGGAGAAAAGGAAATTTTTAAGGAAAAATTTCTTCAGCATCCAAAGAACTTTGGAGCGATTGCGGCAAGTTTAGATAGAAAATCGGCGCAAGATTGTGTTCGCTATTACTACCTCAGCAAAAAGACTGAGAACTATAAGCAATTGTTGCGGAAATCACGCCAGCGTACACGTTCTTCAAGGAACCCTCAAAAAACGCAGCAACAACAGACTCAGTGCATAATTGATTCGTTGACAACAGGCGTTACCACGCGTCTACAACGGGAACAACAACAGAAAACAGGTGGTCGTTCAGCTGCAGCCGAACGGGAACGAGCAGCAGAAAAAGCCGCAGCTGATGCAGTTAAAACAGCAGCTGCTCTTGTAATCAAGACAAAGAGTGAAAGTAATAATGAAATACTTCCAAAATTAGCAGAAGCGGTTGATGCAACAAAAACTGAAGCTGGTTCATCAAGTGATAAATCGAATGAAAGCAGTACTGTTTTAGGCTCACCACTAACAGCAGCTACAGTAATAGAAACAGCAACAACGACCACTGCTGTGACAGCTATAAGTAATAGCAATAGTAAAGAATTTAATAGCAGCAGCGATAATAAGCCAATAACAACAGCAGTTGAAAAAGCTAATGCGGAAAGCTCTGCAACGAGTCCGACTGTTAACGGCACTAATGTTAAAGTGAAAACAGAAGACACAGTGATAGCAGTGGCAACAACCATTAATGACAAACAAAAGGTTGAAAGTGATATAAAATCAACAGCTAATGGCAGCGACGCCAAAACTAATCCAGCAACAGTAGCTACCAGTGATAGCGTTGAAAAACCAATTGAATCAACATGTAGTAAGGATGAAAAATTTTCTACGACAGTTTCAAGCATCACTGCCACTCCTACAACTATCAACACAACCAGCAGTCCTACAAATGCACATCCACCTGCTCAAGTTAACACTCCCAATGGCATCAAGTCTGCTTATGTAGTAGCCATTGCAGCAGCAGCCGCGGCGGCTGTTGCAGTTGATGAACAAAAAGTTGGTGCACCAACTGTGGCCGTAGCCGATAAAAGTGCTACAGCAACGGATGTTGTGCCAGATGAAAAAAGCATCGTGGTGACGCCACTTACATCGACGACTGCTGGCAGCTTTCTAGGGCAAAAGCTGAAAGCTGCACAGGTTGAAGGCATCGGTGCGGGCAATGAATGTAACTCGGATGTTAGGTAAGTAAAAATAAAAAGCTTTGAAGCTCTTTAAGCCTGCGAAAGCATAAAGAAGTAAAAAGGGGAAGTTCAATAAAAGTTGCTTATATTTAAAATAAAAAGTAATCAATATTTAATAACCTTTTGTTATTAGAATATTTTTGCATTATTATTAACTTTCATGAAAGAATTAATGTTTGCATTAATGATTTTCTAAAACTATGCATTAGAAAAATATATTGGTTAGGGTTTTATAATTTTCTTGAATATGGGCTATGGGATATAAAAGCTTTTAGATAATGGGAGGGATAGTATATGAAAATTATTTTATTGGTCAACTAAATAGCAAAGAAAAGTATTACGGTGTGTTAAAATAATACGTTTTAAAAAGTCTTTTCTCCTCTATATAAATTTGGAAAAATTTGAAATAATTTATTTTATGTTTTTATGTTAGCGATCCTAAAAAGAAGCGTCTGGATATAGCCGATGCTTTGTCTTCGTCAACTCTCATATCTAGTAGCAGTCCTGCCAGTAATGCGAGCAATATTCTTGGCAAAGAATTGAATGTAACCACGGTTGGTAGCACAACTACAAACTCCGCTGTGTCGTTAGCAATTACCGTTGCTGATGAAACGACCAAAAATCCAAGTCTAACAGCCACAGCCACAGCAGCAGCATCGGTGACATCGGCAACATCAGCAACATCAGCAACATCAGCATTAACTATAACAATCACAACTACTGTTGCATCTGCAACGACTCAGGCAACGACGACGACGACGACGACGACGACGGCGACAACTGATGCCAGCATTAATAACATAATCGATAGTAAGGGTAAGTGGAGAGAGCAATCGTAATTAAAAAATTTTATTAAGTACACAAACCGAAAGTAAAATATGAAAAAAATATAAAATTGAAAACTCGGCGAAAATCCTCAAAATGCCACTGTCTGCTTCTTCTTCAATTAATATAACAAGAGCAAAGTTAATATTTAATATTTAAATGTTTTTAATTTTGTTATAAATATAAAATTATTAATTGCATTTCCGCAGTTTCCCGGTTTCCCATTGTCATTATTTCGTGATTATGTCGCAATCTCTGCAGGCGAAGAGCCCCTGGGGGTGAGTAGTGCTTTTTTGTAGATAATATGGGTTCAGCAAATTAGAATGAATTCAATGTTGAAATAAATTATTATTTATATATAAATAAAAGCCAAAAAATAAATTATTAAATACTAATTAGGACGATAATCATTTTTACAACGGTCTGAACCTGTTGTCAATACATTTTTACTAAACAAAGGCTGTTTCGGAATGATAACAGATGATAACAGTCTTTCCTCCTGATGGTTCTTGATCTCGTGAAGGTATTAGAGGTAGATGCAGTTCTCTTACATAATGTATTCTGTTTGACAGGTTTCCCATGGACTGTTGGTATTTTAATTTACAAATTACATGAGTTTTATTTATTTATTTAGATGTTTTTTTTATGTAAAGTAGTGTTAAACAGTGAAAATGTATGGCTGAATCCTTACAGTCTAAATGTCTCTGTCCAAGCATTATTATTTAATTTATTCTTTTTTAATGGTACTCAAATAATTTCAAGTTCATTTATTATTAAAAATCCTTGATATCGTTTCACTCACTGCTGTATGCGCCATTTCCGGTTGCGTTTATTCGTTTTCTCCATTAACTGCCATGTTCCCGTTCATTGCAAAATGGAAGCAAAAAATGCGAAATTCATGTTACCAGTTTTTTCGGCAACGAGCTTTTTATTTTTAAAACAACGCTGCATTGATCTATTAGTTTTTTTTCTGCAATTCAGTAAAAAAAAAACGAAACGTAGGATGTCTCTCAAATCGGAAGCATGTACATTTATGTTGTGAATAAGGGAAATAGAATACTTCATAGAAAGAGAAATTGTTAACTCGCTGTGATAGACAAGCGATTTTTGGATATAACATCTATACGCCATATATATATGTCATAAATATGTTAAGAAGTTGTCAGTGTAAGAACTAAATGCGACTTGATAGAACGAATAGGCCTGGACTCCAATTAAAAGAGGGAGAGCGAGAGCGAGAGCGAGAGAGAAAGAGGATATATTAATGCTAAAAATGAATAACATATATGAATGTTTAGTTGCTATTGTCAACACTTATTATTAATTAGCTTTTCATATCCAAAATTAGTTAAAAGTGATTTTTATTTGCTATTGTATAAAACATAATATTTTTAATACATATTCAGTTGTAAATATTTTATTTAATTTAAACTTAATAATAATTATACAAATTTTCTCAATTTTAATTGTAATTTTAATTTTAATTTTAATACATCATTGTTGAATGACAGAAAACGTTAAGGTTGTGTAAATTAGTTTTTCGTGCCACAAAGTAGAACTGTTCTCATTTTTAACCTGAAGAATCTTCACTAAATATTTAATTTTGCCTTAAAATATGCAATGCTTTTTTTTGAATAATTTCTGTTGTTTTTTTTCTTTTTCTTTTGTTGAAAATATCGTGTAACAAGCAAGAAGCATTGGTTGCTGAGCCATACGTAGTGCGTTTATATTGTGGATTCAACGTAAAAATGAAAATGTGTAATGGGTAATGGGCAGTGGAAAGGGTAGAAAGGGTAGAATGGGAAGAATGGGTGCTACTGCAGCTACCCCATTTCAAACTTTACCAATGAATATTTTATTTAAAAATTTGCCTGCAGCCGGAAAGAGTTGTTGTTGTTGGATATGTTGCTGTGAACTACACGACAGAATTGAATTGTATTGCTGACGCTCACGCTCGCACCCGCGCTGGCGTTCTCGCTGGTGACGATGCTTCGCTTTATTTTATAATTTTTTATTCTGCATTCACCGTCATTCACTTCTCTTCTCTTAAGTTGTGTGTTTATGTTACTGGGGATGTCTCCCTGGCGAGTTAATTAAAGCTAAATTAATTAAATTTTTATGTGATTTTATTTAAACACTTTTCTTACTGTTTTTTTTGTTTTTTTTTTTTGTTTTTTTTGTTTATTTCTTTATTAATGGAAAACCAAACAATTAGACAATTAATTTAAAATATTAACTCACAGTTCGTTTGCCTTCTTTTCTTGACTTGGTTAGTTTTTAACTTCAACGTTTGATCAGAATTAATAATTCAACAAGCTCTGTTTTTAGTACTTTTGCAATTAATTTGTATTTGTTTTGATTTTTAATTAAATTAATTACAAATTTTATTATTTTAATATTTTAATTCGTTCTGTATGTTTTTTTCCTTAAGCAATATTCCTAATTTAGCATAATTTTTGGTTATTACTAACATTACTTCCACCTCCCTCCCCATCCCCATCTCCATCTCCATCGACAACTACATCATCTCTGGCTCCACCATTTCGCGAGTTGGGGCCTTCAGTTAGTTCCTCATCAGCGTGGCACATTTTGCGATGCTTGTGCACAAAATAGTAGCTCGGAAATTTACTGCCGCACGTCTTGCATGGGTAATATTGCACATTCATATCCAATGGACGTACTTCACGTCGTAAGAGCTCTGTGGCGTTCTGCTTAATGCCAGTGGTTGGTACCGATTGTACTTGATTGTGCGTGTATGCATTTGCGTCAAAAGTGTTGGTGTGTATTGAGTTAGTATTGTGGCTATGATCAATATTGAGTGCATTGATTGTGCCAGTGGAGCTGGTGCAATTTAAGCTTAGAGGATTTAAGTGGCGTTTGGCGTGTTTTTGGTAGCAATACTGGGACTTAAATGTGTGTTTGCAATACACGCAAACATAAATCTCACTTGTATTGTTTTTTGCGTTATTTTTACCAGGGCCGTTTGAGCACTTTGCACTGCCTCCTCCACCTCCACTTGATTCGCTATTTTCCGACTCTTCAGCTTGTAGCAGTTGTCGCTGTTGGCTTATAGTCTTGGCCATTTGTTGATGAAATGAAAGCGAAACGCTTTGCTGTGTGCGTTCAGGGACTACTGCGCAAGTGTCTGGCTTATGGCCATAAGCGGTATTAAGTATGCGTCGGAAACGTACTGGGCCATCACAGCTTGCAACATCTATTATAACTTTTGAATTTTCAGCCGCATCTAATTGTGAAGCTGGAATCGGCGCTTTAGCTATTTGTAGTCCTGATGAGGTACTTGGCTTCTGGAATATTTGCTTACGTTTAACGTGTTTGTTAATTTTTGTAGCGGTCTTATTCGTTTGCTGGTTAGAATATTGAGTTTGTGATTCAAGACTTTTGTTATTTTTTATTGTCCTCTCAACTGCTATTGTCGATTTTTCCTTACAGGCATTTATAGATTTGGCGATTGATTGATGTATGTTATATGAAGGTGACTTTGATGCCACAGATATTGTGCAGTCTATTTCTGTATCCACTTCGTTATCAGTTGTGGAATTGCTGTCAATGAAGACCTCTTCGTCTTCGTCATCATTTTCTTGTTCATTTCTATTAGAGTTTCGATCGACATCGATTTCTTCGTTTTGGTCTCTTAATGTCTTCTGCTGTTCTTGAAGAATAGGCATTACATAAGATTGTGGCATTGTTTTAAATGAATTTTCGTTTACAGTAGCTAACCCTACAGAGGAGTTGACAGATTGCATCACAAGTTGTTGTGGTAAAAATCCATAGTTGGGCATTGTAGCTTTGCTGGGAATAGGGCGTATTATTTTGACAGTGTCGTTGGCTGTAGTAAGGGTCGATAAAGTATTGGCTAAATTTGGAATACTATTGTTTAAATAACCTTCTGTTTGTGCACGAGCTAGAAATGTACTGGAAACAGAAACACCATAGGTGGATATTAACAAAATGGAACTTTATTTATTGGTTATTAATTTATTAAATAATCTTTGTTACAACGAATTTTTTGTACTTACCGACAAATTTCTAAAGCACGTGGCATATGTAAAACATGTGTAGCCAATAGGACACCAAAGATATTTTCTAAATTTAAGTCTAAATAACCTGTGTACATATAGGTAAGCAGCGGTGCAAACTGGTCAGGCGTGACATTGGTAAGATATAGTATTGCATTAGTCGACGCGTGCCCAATAATTGATGCATTCTCATCCAGTCTAATTGCAGAACGTAAATATCCACTGTGCATGCCAAGCACCATACTGTGTGCCACGAATCGTACACTTGGAGCTGGGCCAACTTCTAATACTACGTCTGGTGGTGTCGACATTAGCCCGGTACCCGTTGAATTTGAAATCGTAGGTGTTGCCACCGCAGCTGATGCTATATTATTTTCTACATTGACATTATTATTAGTTCCGATGCCTGTACTTCCTGTCAGCCAATTTGTAAACATCGCAAGTGGTTAACTATTAAAACTTGATAGACTTTAACAAAAAGAATTTATTGGCCTAGTCCTGTTAAAAAGTTTTTTTTATTTTTTTATTTTTTTTTTTGTTCTTTTTTGTTGTTTTTTGTTGTTTTACAAATAAATCGTTTTAGCAGTGTGACTGCAGTGATAGATTGCACGTTACACGTTACGCGTTAATAACTCGATTAAAACTGAAACGATTTCATAATTGTGTTCGTGTATTTATAGTCCTTTGGTTCATGTCCCTTTTGTAATAAAATGCTTGGTCGTTCTGTGCGCGAATGTTGGCATGTTTAATTGGTGTCCTTTGTGCGTTGAGTATAAATTTTACATTACTACGACAGCTTGGCAGTGTGTTGGTACAGAGACCTACATCAAATCAAAGCAAAAGTAACGCAAACCAGTGAATACTTTCCGAATTGAAGTTTATTAAGGCTTTGCGCCATTCTATGATAACGCTCCTGTGTAAACAAATTTGTCACGGGAGAGGGCAACTAAGTGGCTGCTTACTCTCTTACACAACTGGCACGTGCTTTCAGCCGCAGGTGCGCTCTCGCTGCAATTGTTTGGCTAGTTGTGCACTCTCTGTTGTGTTTACAGATTTTCTCTTAATATCTCGTTTCTCTGTTTGCTTTTAATTGCTCCCATTTATATTTTAATTCTGCTTGTTAACGTGACGGACAGCTCAAGTCATTGGCGGCATGTATTTTTTTTGACATATTTAATCTGTCGTTGTTGTTGTCGCTCTGTACGGCGGAAGCAGAAGTGATTATTGCTTTTATGATTTGACTGAAGTGAACAAAAAGCTAAGGACTCCCAAGATTTCAATTTGAATTAATTATAATTGGTTTTATTTGTTGTATTGTGTTGTTTTTTGTTGTTTTTTGTTGTTTTTTGTTGATGTTGTGCAATTGGTTTAATTGGTTCTTGTTTCTGCACCTCCGCCCGTTCTCTACCAAAGTGGTGCAAATTGGGCTTCGATGCACTTGCTGCTCAATTGCTATCATGCATATATCCCAATTTATTTGGCACATGATGTTGACTTTATGCTTTGATGTCAAAGTTTTTGGCCTTTTTTTGGTTGGCTTCCTTTTGTCGTCCCATCTTACCGGACTATGTTATTTTAATTACTGATCAGTGCATATTTACCTATGTAAATTTACAAAAATGTGGCAACTGCGGTATGTGCCCATTTATATACTGCAGCTTAGCTTATTTATTATAAATGTAAACTCTTCAGCATACCATATGCTTTTCATCTTAATATGAAGTAAGAATAAATGCAATTCAAATAATTATAATGAATACGATATGGAACTAATGGAGATTATTTAAATCGAACTCATTTTGATTAAATTTTTTTCTTACGCTGGACGAATGTACTTTTTCTCTATGCGAACCGTTTAATCCTCTGGAAATTAGAGTCTGCAATGCTAAATATGTTCATCCTTAATATGAAAATATTATTTGCCTGAAAAAAAAAACCAAAAATGTTAAATACAAAATAATAAAATAAACATATTTCCATTAACATTTGACATAAAAAGCATGCAATGATTTTACTCATTTACCACTTTACCACTTTACAACGAAAACTACTAAATTCGGTGGATAAGCTTCGCTCTATTTCTGCACAAACGCCAATCTCCCTCCACTCCACTCCATTGAAATGAATTCATTAAATTTTTATTCACAAATTGCAGTGTAAACTTTCAATTTAATTTCAATCATTTATTTAATTTAATTAAACAATAAATAAATTATAAATTTTTTGGATATGTCTACATTTGCATTTCATTTGTGAATAACTCAGTTCAGTAAAATAATTAAAAACATTTAGGATGCTGTCGATGCTATAAACTTGCCTTTTTGTCCAGGCAAAAAGGATATAGCCTCATGAGGATGGATAGCGGATAATCCTGTAGTCATGTTCCTATAATATATAGGAACATTAAGCTAATCTCTTTCGTGGTTATCCATTTAAAATCTCCGAAAATGTATTTAATAACTTGAACAAAATGATGTCATTTCCTGCATTAAACAGTTTAGACTTTTTAAATTACATCGCCACATTCCTTTCAAATATAACTTAAAGAAACAAATAAAAATGTTATATATTTCACTGTATATTGATTAAAAATAAATTAATAAGCAAAGTAGTTAAAATTATACACATAGTAGAAAAAGTCTACGGATATTCACATAATTTTTCTTATATTACGCATAAATTTTTTTATTTTTACTCAAATTCATTTTTATTTCCTAATTTATTTTAACCAAAGAAACAACAATAAAGTTCTAATATAAAAAATTAACAGTTATTCTTTAAAAAAAAATAAAACACAATTATATGCAAAATCAACAATTTTTGAAGCAGAAAAAGTCTACGGATATTTCTTAATATTTACATTTACCGTTAATTTAAATTCGCTTGCAAGTATAAAAGTGTCATTAAATGATATTTAATTATTAGTTGACTTCCTAAAAGTCTAAGAATTAAACATTTAATAATATTTTTTTATATAAGCAATACAATATAAAATAAAGGACGTGAAATTAGTTTTAGTGAGCGACAAATAACTGTTAAATTTTAGAAAGATGACGTAAGTCCAAGAAAAATTGCTGAAGATATTGGTCGTCAATATTCATCTGTGCAGAGAATTACAAATAACTTCAAAGAGACCAGTACTTACGTTTCTAAATCTCGCCTCGCCGCCCCTCAATTCTGTCAAATAGAGAATAGCTGAACATATTGCCGAAATACTTGAAAACAAAATATGTCCTAAAACTGTGCGGAAAATTTTGAAGAAATGCATGTATTATACCCTGGTTGCAGGAAAGAAGACATACATATCCAGATATAATAGAATGAAATGATTAAGCTTTGCAAGAAAGCATATAAATAAACCTATAAAGTTCTGAATATGAGTTATTTTCTCCGATGAGACTTAATTTTACATATTTTGAATGAAAGTTAGAAAACTTGTAAGAGAAAATTATGCACAGCCTATGATAAACAAAACTCAATTTCAACAGTAAAACGTGGTGGTGAAGGCGTAATGATTTAGGGGTGTATAGCAAGTAATGGTGCGGTCAGACTTGAATTTGTACAAGATACAATGGAAAAATATGGCTATCTAAATATTCTAAAAACAAATTTGAAAGAAAATGTCAGAATGTTAGGACTTTGAGGCAACCTTTTTGTTTCAGCAGGGCAATGACTCTAAGCACACAGCAGCGATCTTACGTATTTTGCTGCTGTATCATGCTCTCAGACAACTTCAAACACTACCAAAATTACCAGACCTTAGTCCTATAGAACATCTGTGGGTTTATATGAAAAATCAGATTCGCCAGTATATGTTTTCCAGCAGGGATATGGTAAGAAACGTCATCAAGGAAGAATGGCTAGAAATAAACGCACAGGATACTGCAAAGCTGGTTGAGTCCATGCAAAGACGCTTAACAGAGGTTATTAAATGCAGAGGTTATCCCACAGACTATTAAATTTAAGATTTTTGTGAATTTTATTGTTTTAATGTAAATATTAAGAAATATCCGTAGACTTATTCTGCTCTAAAAATTACTACTTTTGCATATAATTGTATTTAATTTTTTTTTAAAGAATAACTGTTAATTTTTTATATTGGAATTTTATTGTTGTTTCTTTGACTAAAATAAATTAGAAAACGAAAATCAATTTGAGTAAAAATTAAAAAAGTTATGCGTAATTTAAGAAAAATTTTGTGAATATCCGTAGACTTTTTCTGCTATGTGTATATAAATCATGCCATTTCTCACTATTCTCAAATAGTCATAGATTTTTCGATTATCAGACAACGATCTCGATAGGTATCCCATTTTAACATAGATAATCAAACATGTAAAAATTGAAGGTATGAGTTAACGCTAGATGGCGTGAGTAGTTTTTTTGAATGTGTGGTCCATGTTAAAAGATTATATCACGAGAAAAAAGCTATAACGGCATGTACTCTTCTAAAATTCGTTATAAAATTGGTCGACGGCAGATGGCGGAAGAGCTGGCCAAACATCAAAAAGTAAAGTAAGTGACCTTAAAATTTGTATTTTATAATTTTAGGGGTCGGTAGTTAAGAATTTTGAATCAGACTTAAAATTTTAAAATGGTTTACATCAAGGCTGTCCAGACCAGATGCGATCACAGGCCAATACAAATTATTGTATAGATTGGAGGGCCACAGAAACAGATATATACCATATGTTACGTTCATAGTTGTTATTATAAATACATTCTAACTTTATAATTATGGTTGTAACGTTAAATTTAGTTTAATTAATTTATCAATTAAAATTCATTTATTTGGTCGCACAAATATTAGCCGCGGGTCGTACTTTGGACAGCCCTGGACCAGATGTAACTAAGAATTTAAAAAATATGTCATGCATTATTTTGATTTTGATTCTTTTGACTCTTGCAAGAATAAAGTATGTATTGGATGATTCTTGAGCGTCCTTCACACATCTGCTACCACTATCGGCTACCACTATCGGTAATAGTGCATGAGATATTATTTCTGGTGAATGAATTGACATATAATACCAGCTGTACATTTCTAAAGATTTTCTAGCTGTTTCTCGATTATAAAGATGAAATATTTCAGCATTTATATTATAACCAGATGATTTAACCTGTAATGCAGTAAGAAATTGGTAAATTAGACATTCGTCGAGTTTAGTTATAGTAGCAGAAATACTTCCATTTTCAAAACTTTGTCGAGTAGTATTACTATCAACCATATCCTTGCATAGGCGTATCAACAATCAATCCTAACTCTTTTCTGAAATTCTTAGTTTCTTACCAAGTCGTATTTGTGCCATATTAAATAGTTGTTTTTAACATCTGATTTAAAAATAAGATCCCATTGTATTTGTAAGGTTGCATTTTGCATACATTTGATAGTAATGCATTTTACATAAAATTTAGGATTTTAAAATAGGATTTTAAGTGGAACAAAATACAACCTTTTCATTATTTTTTATACAGCTTAACCAAAGACAATGTAGAATAT